AACCGACTGTGAAAATGAGCTCTCTCGTCATTTATGAGTATAGAACAGGGCAAATGCCCTTGCGGTAGAGTTTTTACTTTAGTAGGCATCGGAGTAGATAAGAGTTCAAATCTTTGATATAGCTTAATATACGGAATATAGCTGATTGCTTGCTTCATCGGGTTTTTTGTTGAAAGCAGGATTCGACGTGAGAGAATAAAGTCTCATTTCTGCACAATCTTTGGGAGGAGCTTCTTTGTGTTGTACTTTACCTCATGGTTATGGTTCTTCTGACTGCTGCATGGTAAGGTGTTTCTAGCAATTTAAAATGCTTTTTGTGCAGTGTCCGTAAATTACGAGTCCAAAGTCCATTTTTTCTAATATAAAAGCCCTTAATACATTTACCAGTGTAGTTATATGAACTAAAGAATACGTGGATGATAGGTTAGGTTAGGTTAGGTGAAAAGTAGGTTTATTGTAAAAATTATTCCCAATATTTTCAATGTGTCAGTATAGTGGATAGGGGTGTCATACACGGAGAGAGTTGGATGTATACATTTGTATTCTCTGCATATGTAAAAAAACCGAAATCTTAGCTCCTGAAGATTTGGACCAATTGCGGCAAGTCCTTAGTCTTAGAAAAAATATAATGGAGCTAACTTTCCCAAAGGCTATATTGCATAAAATAACCGAAAGTGGTGATCCATGTGGGACACCACTAAAGAGCGGAACAGTTTTTGAATAACAGTTATTGGCACGAACAGCGAACTTCCGGTTGTAAAGGAAAGACTTAACAACATTGTACATCCTCTCACCATTTTTCTAGCGTAAAACTTTAGATATGCAGGGGAGGATGGAAATGGGTCTGTATTTAGAAACTAATGAATTGTTTATATTTAGTTTGGCAATAGGAATAATAATAGCAGTTCTTCACTCTTGGTGACCCTTGAGATAGAATGGAGTAATGGAGTTTAATGACTCTATGTTTGACGGGATATGGAAGATTTTTTTGTTGTATCAAATTTGTTTTCGGTTAGACAGATATATCGAATTAGGTAGAACTAGTTTAGCCTGGGCAAAACCAATTGACCCACACTGAGGGAAAAAAATATTAAAATCAAATGGAAACGTAATTGATCTTACTATAAACGTCAACGAAAGTACTGTATATTGGTAAATATTCAATTCAATTACGCGCATATTAAAATTACCGCGTTCGTACTGAAAAAGCATCCGTGAAGTGAATAATCAAGACAAAAACTAAAAAAAAAAATTTTTTTGCATGTTGCCTGCAGTGGAATTCGAACCGGACCATCTCCGGATACCCTGCAAAAATCGTTGGACCATGTAGTCTATTTGTGGTATATTGGAGTACTTACAAAAGTGCTCCTCTGTCATGCTGTAGCGGACCAACTCGTGTCTCTGCACCAGCTTATTGTTACCCGATCACTGCTCGTGTTTTAACGAAATGTGATTGAAGTTAAGCATTTGAAAGTACATTTGCATGGCTGGCTGTAGCTGAACGTGTAGAGATGCTCGCTGTTAGTTCTTAGTTCCCAGCATGTTCGGGTTCGAATGTCGTCAGAGGCAACATGTAATTTTTAATTTTTGTCTTTGGTTTTTATTAATTTCAAAAAAAGCATATGCGAAGTGAAGAACGAAAGCGCGTACAAACGAAAAAATATAACGACAATGTCATTGGAGTATGTTGGGAGTAGTTTTGTGCTACTCTGATGTAATGCAGAGATGGAGTATATGGTCCTGCCCTAGGACATCGCAATGTTAATTGGACCATATTTTTTATATGAATTGTGGTTAATTTTGGAGTACTCCTTAGTCCTTCGGGAGTACTCTTTACATGCATGCATGGAGTAGTCGCGATTTTTGCAGGGTATCAACAACTTGTGGCAAGCATCTTTGCGCACTCAACTACACCGAGGCATATAAATTTGCTTTCAAATGTTGAATATCCTTCAACACCACAGCACGCGATTTGTACTATGTACGGATGTGTGTGTTGTCACCGCGATTGCACCTTCTGAACGCGTTGCTTTGTACTTCTGATCAACTGAACAGTTGCGTGTTAGATGATCGTAATATTATTCTGATCATTTCAGACAACATGTTGTGTGTTTTGAATTTGACAGCTAATGTATCAAGCCGTTCAGAAGACGCATTACGATCACTGATTTTTTTAGCAACGGTTGGGCTCAACGTCTGCCCCTTCTGAACCTAACCATATACATACTCAGATGTGAACAGTCAAATACGAGCGTAATAAATTTTGTAAGAAAATATTATTTTTAAATACGAACATTTTTAAACGATAATCAAATATAAAGTATTCATTTTTACTATGCATTATTTCCCTCAGTGTAAGATTGCCGGTAACATATACAAACATACATACATAGGCACATGTAACTTACCTGCCACAAAAAATGTTAATAAAAACAAATTTCCAGCAAATTGTGTAGATAGAGGATTTTTCTCTTTTAACAAAATGTTATTGCAGATAGTGGAATTTTCAAAATGAGAATATAATACCATTAAAGCTATATTTATACCTTTCATGAGCATGAAATGGTATTATAACTATGGTCCGATGTTTGTAAGTACCAGAATAAGAAGAGATAGACCCATTAAAATGTATAGTTAAATGATCAGAACGGCGATCTGAGTCGATTTAGCCATGTCCGTCTGTCTGTCTGTCCGTCTGTTTGTATGCAATCTAGTCTCTCAGTTTTCGAGATATCCAGATAAAATTTGGTAGGTGGGTGTATTTTTATAATGTATTAATTATTTGTCGGAACCGGAGGAATCGGACCACTATAACATATAGCTCCCATACAACTGATTGTTCAGATATGCGATTTTTCGTTATAACTCCCCCATTTATGCAGCTAAGAACATGAAATTTTGCAATACTTCCACCCATTATCAGCAGAATATTTACAGTGAAAATTACAAAGATCGGGTCACTATAACCTATAGCTCCCATACTACTGATTGTTCAGATATAAGACTTTTCGTTATAACACCTCCATTTAGGTAGCTAGTAACATGAAATTTTGCACTGTTGTCACACATTATCAAACTAATACTTTCAGTAAAAATGAAACTGATTGTTCCGATATGAGATTTTTGCCATAACTTCTCCATTTATGCAGCTAGGAACATGAAAATTCTCTCCGTTTTCACTCGTTATTAACAGAATATTTACAGTGAAAATAAGAAAGATCGGGTCACTTTTACATATAGCTCCCATACAACTGATTGTTCAGATATGAGATTCTTTGTTATAACTTCTCCATATATGCAGCTAGAAACATGACGTTTCGCACTATTTTCACTCATTATCAACAGATAATTGATAACCTATATATTGCCCCCATACAACTGATTGTTCAGATATGGGATTTTAATGTAAAACTAATTTATTTGGACAGCTAAAATCGATCATTTCTTAAGCTATTGTATAAATAATAATACAAAGTCTACTGAGAAAATTGTCAGAATCTATGCTGTATAAGCTTTATCTCTTATACCACTGATTGTTCCTATACCATATTTTTGCGATATATCTCCTTTATGTAGGAAGGTAAATCCAATAAGATTTCTTATATATGTAACTCCTCTATCTATGCGTGCTGTGAATATAAATATAAATTCGGCATAGCCGAAGACAGCGCTGCTCTTACTTGTTTTTTTTTTGTAGCACCGTGTTAACTAATTTTATTAGGCTTCAAAAATTTACTTAATCTGAAAGTTATGTACCGGTGCACTATGGGAAATTTCAGTCTATTTTGTGGCCAAAAGTCAATTTCTTGACTTGCTTGAAATTATTATTTTTTTTTATCTTATCTTACAGAGAATACTTCAGAGTAAAAAACTGTATACTCTGTTTTTCGATAAATTGACTTACCGTTGATTTGGTAACCCTCAAACAGATAGTTTCGAAATTTTCTGTAAACGAAAAATGTGTAGCTTGATTTTGTGCCACTTTAAAATGCGTATATCTCGTAATCTCTTTGCTGCGTTTTGAAAGTGAAAAGTGGAAAGAAGGAGTGACGGTTAGCAAAATATTTACCAATTAAAACTTGTATTATAGTTTAAATGTTGTGCCAAAGAAACGTCCGCATTTAAGTGACTTTAAAGTGAAATTGTACAATTAAAAAACTAGTTTATTTAGTGTTTTAAAAAATGTTTAAAAACATTTAAAAAAAACTCATCATAAGTCTGTAGAATAGTCCCTGATCTCTTATTTCCCCATAATCTTATACTGCGATTTTGTGCGATATTAAAGAAATTATAATTTTTCTTAGGTAACTACTTGATGAGTTTTATGAAATAATTCACGGTGTTATAATTTAAAACTTGAAAAAAAACCTGTCAGATAACAAAAAGAAAGTTTTAAACTTAAGGTCAGTGGAGGATTCGAGTCGATATTTAAAATAGAATGTAGGAGGCATCTGTTTATTGGGTTGGGGTCCACTGGACCCCGTGTGACCATTACGCTATTTTTTGAGGTGTGACCATTACGGGCTAATTTTTGCGCGGCAAGGCCACTACTTCCAGTCCTACTACTGGCCCAAGTTTTAAATTGATATCTCAACTTTTAGAATTTTGGCCACAAAATAGGGTAAAATTTCCCATAGTGCAGTGTACCAAACTGAAACAAATGTTCCAAAAATGGTACATTTCGCAACAAGATTGTACATTTTTATATTTAACGACTTTGCGAATTGGAAGAAGATTATGTAACGCCGAATCCAACAGATGATTGCAAGATAAATTATAGCAACTTAAATGTAGTGCAATCAAAATTCCAACGACTTCGCAGACTAGGTTACATCATATAAAGGAAAACGAACGCTTGAGAATTTCTCCGGGAATTTTTTCTAGTTTCTATTCATGTTTATTAGCGAGGGGTGGAGTGAAATGAAAACGAGAATCTACTTGAGGAATTTTTCAACATGGCCAACTAATGTAACTCCAGCGAAGCAGCATTGCTTCAAAGATAAATTTAAGGTGAACCCACTAGGAAAAAGTAGGCCACCAACAATAAAAATTCAATATTTTATTTTCGAATTAAAATTTAATAAAAACCTAACTTAAAGCGCAAATCAAAGACTAAGAAGACACTAACATTTACATAATTTACAACATTGCAATAAAGGCTTAGGCAAAATTTCTAAATTGTTATGAAAACTAACAAAGAATTTTAATTTTACAATAAAATTACAATTCAGTAGAATCGTTATTTTATAATTCAAATCTTCCGATTTCAATTTTTTCAAGATTCTTTTTGTTTGGAAATGAGTGCTTGTGTAAGGTGCTGGCTTGTATAATATACACATGATTGAATTATGGTATATACATACATATGTACATATGCACATACACACATAGGTTTTTTCATTCATCTGAATTTAAAAAAATATATCTCTTGCCTCTCGCAACACATTGCCTTGATATGGCTTTGCGGCTTATAAAAAAAGTACACAAGTATAGCTTTTAGCCAAATCTTCCATCTCTTCAGCAGTGTTATGACGATATGGAGAGATTTGAGAGCCGCAATTCATCCGAGGTAAGTCGTAGCATTTGTTGTTCCTCTGAGTTGATGTGCACCAGCTGCTCGCTATCAAAGTTCAACAGTGTGCTTATCGTCGGACCCTGTTCGGCACCTCCTTCATCGATATTAGCGTTGTTTACATCGCCACCGGTGCCGCCTCTTATCACGTCCGCCATAGTGGCGTCGTTATTAGGCTGCTGCTGTTGTTGTTGTGCCTGTAATTGCTGCTGGTGATGGTGTTGCTGTTGCTGCTGCTGCAGTTGTTGTGCTTCCTGTAGTGATCGAAAATTATTAAAATTAATTCATACATTTGTTGTTGTTTTTGTTTCTTGAGCCAACATTTGCATTGCCACACTCACCACATGATTGGGAGGAAAATTCCATTGCGCATGCTGCGTCACACCTGTTACGCCTGCCGCTGTAGCCGCCATGAAGCCTTGCATATTGAACTGATTGTTGTTGTTGCTGTTAAGATTGTTCATTGCTGCCGCAGTGGTGTGGCTGACATTCGCCAGCACGTTGGCAAACTTCTCCTCCCAATTGCCCACATCGTTGTTTGCATAGAGCATGCCATGAAACTGCTGATGGTGTTGCTGGTGTTGCTGTTGTTGCTGCTGCTGTTGATGCTGAAGATGCAGATGCGGTTGTTGGTGTGGTGACTCATGCTGTGACGGCATTTGATGCTGACGCACATAGTGTCGCGCAAGGTGAGGCTGTTGTTGCGCATGCTGCTGCTGCTGTTGGCCGCCTCCATAAGCGTTATATTCATTGTGCACCTCCAGTGGGGTCGGACTTGGATCTGCGTTTGCCGGGACACCTCCTCCTCCCCCCCGCACCTCCTAGGTACTGATGGTTAGGTGACATCAGTGGTGTATTGCCGCCCATAGCCATGTTGTAGGGTGAGGGCGTATTTGGAAGATTGTAGTTATTCGACGGCGATAACGGTTGCGGAGATGGAGTCATCTCGGAGGGCGCCCGATACAAATGTTGCGGCGATGCTTCTGCGTGAGGGAAGTAAATCATCTTTGTGTAAGCATGCATTAAAAATTAGAATAAATGAATACTTACCTCTTGGTTCCGTCTTAATCGCTGGTATGTTTGGGGTATTCCAATTCGCCAAGCCTAAGGGTGTTTAAAACAAAAAAACAAAAAAAATATTTTAAACAATATGGAATAAAAATAAAAAACGGGACTACTGAACTAAAATAGAACTTATATTTACTAAACAAATTAAAAAAGTAGCTACGCAAAATATAAAATGAGACAACACATCATGCATCGTGGTATCATATGCTATTAGGTACATATTTTGAATATTACTACGTTTGGTGGGGTGGTTGCCCAAAAGCGGCACGCTAGAGTGTTGAGTTAATATCATAAATTGAAGACCATTACAGCAAAGCGAGGGGAGGAAGTGAAAAAATTCATATGGATGTATTCAGTACATTCACCGATATTTTTTGTATCGACATCGACGGTGTGGTGGCATAAGGCGCGTCCCCATAAGGTCAATTGACATTACGACCACTTGAATGGGCATTATGCCAGTTTGAAATGGCCACAATGTCCAATTTCAAATGGAAACAATGCGAACGATATTGACAATATGCCCATTTCACTTTTCTGAAATGGTCATAAAGTCAATCTTTATTTTCTCGGTAGGACACAGTGTCAGTTATTTGGTTTGGCGCTTCCACAATGCTAAACACTTTCAAGCTCCTTTATTAAATTCATTTTGATGCGCTTAAGGGCATTCCCCATGGTACGATAATTACAGGTATTGTCTTCCCAGAGAGCGCATATGTATTCCGATCTGCCTTATTTGAAGACATCATTGTTGCGCACAATAAAAGGTTTACTGCTAGGGAAAAGGGATCCACACCCCATATACCATATGTATGTATGTACACTAGGGATGCCAATCAATTCAATTGTAGTGCAAATTTACAGAGGCTACAAAATACTGTTGATTTTGTGCACCTTTTTGTTGACGATGTCACTCATTTGCTTCCATACGAAAATAAAAAATTGCCAAAAATCAACGGTATTTTGTAGGTACTTCAGACTTGACTTTATTAAACCAGAATTAATTTGGGCAGTTTTATAGCATATTCAAAATTCTCTAAAATCACAGAATAAAACGTGAGAAATTTGGATGAAACTTGATTAAATGTTTGTGCAAAATTTGACACTTGGTTTGGTTTTTATTACAAAACGAACTATATTTTTATGAAAAATAATTAAAATTAAATCATAAAAAATAATAGTCATAACTTTTTAACGTATAGTTACGATAAGCACAATAGTATCGTCAAAAGTGCGTGCTCTTTCATAATAACTTTAACTAAAAACGTGTAAACAAACATTTATGGATTCTGCAAATAAAATAAATTTATGCATAAATATATTTTTTCTTATACTAGTTATAAATTTTAAAGAATTTTCAGACCTGTAGCAATTAGCTTTATTTCCTTAGTAAAATTTGGTACTGCATCAAATATAAAAATAAAACTAGGACAGTGTTTGGAGCAGTGATACCACTTTACCACAATTGTGGTAGATCTACCAAATTTTGGGTAATTTTTCACTTTTACCACAACCACCACGTATTTTAAGAAATCTACCACAATTTTGGTGAAATAAAATTAATAATCTAATGTGCCAAAAGGTTGCTGTCATAAAAGTTGAACAGCAAATTTTCTCCTCAAAATTAATTAAAAAGTCATTAAAATTTATTGTCAATATTTAGTTAGTTGAAGAGCTGAAGATGATGCCAAGCATTTCAAAATTCTATTGTGTACATGAAGGATAAGC